CCAGTAAGGCAACTGAAAGAATATACTAAATTTTGTCCATCCTGTCGGCAAATCCTGAGCATGTGTGACATCTAAACCCCGCACTTGCCTCTTTCGTTTGGGTGCCCTCTTCATGATGGAAGTGCGTCTCGGAGCGAGAATTTTCTCTTTTGTAAATCGGTTCTTTCTGAACTTGAATTTAGGATATCCCTCAAATAAGTTTACAATCTCATCTCCAGTCATTTCACATGGCTCCTCTCTTTTCTCTTCTTGGCAATCAAACTTATTTGCCCATTTTTTCCCCTTGAATTTATGCCCTTTTCGTAACCATCTTCTGTTAAACCAATAACACATTTCTCGACTATGTTGTAAATAAAAGCCTTCGAAGTTCGGACCACATAGTGTCCCTTTCATAGACCAACCAGAGAGATTACCATAAGCTAGAAAATTACTAATCATCCATGTAAGAATAGAACAGAGATTAAAAGGACTCATAAGAAAGTGTATCATATGTTAGGACCCATTCATCCTAGAGACATTTTAACTCATCAATTAATGGCTCCATAAACACATCTATGTCATTACTGAGTAAATGTTTGTTTGGTATCAACAATGAAAGAATCATATATGGTTGCTGCATACAAAGTCCAAGTGGCAAATTATAAGGCATTAACACAATTGGCTAAGTAGACTATCTCAAACTCATAATGCCAAATGGGTTGAATGCATCACTAGATAGACCAAGTCTGGCATTCTCGCACTCTGTGGCAAATGAGGGAAAAGTTTGATCCACATGCTCTCATACCTTTATATCTATTGGATGTCTTAGTTTTCTCTCATCTACATGCCCTTCCTTATGCCACCACATATATTTAGCTGTGTCTTTTGTCATATAGAGCCACTGTAACCAAGGCACTAGGAGAAAATGTCGGAGCACCTTCGCTGGAATTTTCTTCTATTGCTTCACTGATGTGGCTTTCGTGTTGAAGTTTGCGTATTCTTTCTCTAATGAGAAACTCCACACTTTGGACATTCTACAAGTTTCTTATTATCCTTATAATACAGGAAAAAATCATTAGGACAAGAATCGATCTTATTGTAATCTAAACCCACAGCACTAATAATCTTATTCACATCATAACACTTTCCTGGTATGCTATTCTCTACGTCTGGAATTACCTTACGTAGTAAATTAAGAAGCATTTGAAGATATTTATCTATCATTCCGCTCAGGGTCTTAATATGCATCAGTTGAAGAATAAATGACAATCTACTATACTTAGTGTAGTCGTCGTACAAATCCTTCTCGTCATCTTCCAATAACTTCATTAAATTATTGTAGCCCTTGTTGTTCGCGGGAAAAATCGTGTCTTTCTTCATTATTGATTCCATTGCTATCTTTAAATAACAACTTTTTGAGTTACAAAGATCCGGTCTTTTTATAAGATCCGGTTACAACGAAATCAAAAATAAAGAAAAAGATTACAACTTTCTCCTTTTATCGAACAAATCGCGAGCTCCTGTTTGCGGTCACTCGCTTTGTGGGTTCTTTGCCTGCGTCGGGGTTTATCCGTGGACCACCGCGAGATCTAGATCCGGTCGGATCTACGCAGTACGACGGGTACTATTTCACCAAGGAAATAATAGCCGGGGAGGATTAGTTCACCAAGGAAATAATCGTCCAAATCTCGGGATCAAAGGCCAAGCTTTGATCCGGAGTATGCCTGCGTAGATCTGAGATCCGGTCCTCTCGAACACCTGCCTTTTGTGACGTAGACGTTCGCCGAGAATCAGTTTCGTGTAGATCTTAGATCTGATTTTTACCTCTCTCGAACTCCTGCCTTTTGTGACGTAGACGCTCGCCGAGAATCAGATCTGAATCTTCAAGTCCTCAAGTCTTCTAAACTCTAAGCTCGATCTTCAATTCGGCAGAGTTTCGGCTCTCAAAGTTCCAACCTTTTCAAATGAACAAAGGGGAGCCTATTTATAGGCTCTCTGAACTGTGCCCGCGCACAGATCTGGGTCGGCCACCCATGGGTGGCCGGCACTGGGCCGAGCCACCCATGGGTGGCTCGGCCTTGGCCGAGCCACCTTTAGGCGTTTCTGTTTCGTCATTTTGTTCCGTTGTATCTGTTTTTTCGGTTGACTTAGACTCTGATTTGGCAGTAAATCTGATTCCTGATTTGGCAGTAAATCCACTTCTGAGTTCGAGTCCGAAACCGATCTTGATTCAGTTGTGATTCATCCGAGTTCGCTCGTTGATAATTCGAACCCTTGGCTTGATTCCACACATGAATGGATGTATTCCGTTGCTTGCGTGCGATTCATTAACCTCGTCGCCTCGTTGGTTCGTCGGTTTGTGCCGAGCTATGCTAAGGGACCTATAAGCAATTTTATACGCCTACAGATATCAAATGCTTATGTGATATCAAATGCTTATGTGATATCAAATGCTTATGTGGACTCATGTGAACTTATGGTTTTATGCTGTT